AGTACTTTACGCATAAAAAGTGGTTTTTAAGAGTTTTTGTCAAATGCTTTATAATATAGTATAGATATTTTATACGTATATTATTAATGTAGTTTGGTAATATAAAAAAGTTTACAGTACATGATTATTCAAAGTTGTCGGTTTGAAATTTTTTGAACTTAACATAACCTAAACAAAAGTACATTATCCAACCTAACCCGTTCAGATGACCTTTCATATTTAACTCAAGTTCTTGATTAACGCATGTTCATGATTTTCCACCAATCAAAGCTTCATTATATATGAATCACCGTGGATATGGATGACCTTCCATATTTATGTAGGTTCATGATTATGCAATTCACATATCACCTTTAATGTCCAAGAATCTTTTTTTGCCAAGCGTTTCCATTCTAGTTCGAATAGACAACCCGTATGTTTGGTGGAGATTCTTTTACCTTTGTAGGTACCGCCACAGTCACAATGAAATACAATTGTAGAGGTCTTGAATCTTTTAGTAATAATAACGCAACCAAGTGAATTTCCAACGTGGTAAACCCAACTTATTAGATCTTGACGAGAACTGAACACCTGAAAATAAAGAAACGAGACATAGATAAAATATATTTAGTTAATACCATGTCGGTTGAAGCAATTTACACTTGAAGAGGTGTAGGTAATAGGGTGATATTTGATTGGTTTGAGTTTGGCTTCAAAGTTTAAAAGTATCAGAAGGTTTCAGGTTCAAATCCAAAAAAATAAAAATCTTTTTGTGGCCATGGAAATTTAAATACGATAACTCCGAATTATCTGCAAAATATATGATCATCCCTAGATTAATTGACTCACATGACAAGTTGGATATAGAGGTTAATAAAAAAATAAAATAATAGAAAGCAAACACATAAAAAGGTAGATAGCGTTTCTTTTAAGGAAAGTTATGGAGTGTATCACAGACAATTATGGGTACTGACGACACCCATCAAAGCCGCGTTTATTATACACGCTAGCGCTTTGTGTCATCATGCATATTATTTTTATTTAAATGTAATAATTAATTGGACAAAGTATATGAAAAAATAATATATTTTAACTTTATTTTTATTTTGATAACGTATTTTCAAAAAATGTATTTTGATATTTAAGATGTAAAGTTTTAAATACTTAGTTAATCGGTTAAAACATTAATTAATTTGTATAAAAACAAATAATTAGAACATCTCCAATATTTTTTTTTATAACAAAAAAATCAATTTTTATTGTCTATAATGCTCCAACACTTTTTTATCTCATTCTAAAAAATAGAGAATCATGAATAAAACTTCAAAAAGGATAGACCAATGAGTGTTAAATTAATATCTCATTTCGTATATATTTGAAAAAGTGTATTTAAATCATAAAATTATAGAATATTTAAATAACATAATTAATGATATAATCTCTAAACTAAAGAAGATGTTGGAGTTGATTGTAATTTATTATAGAGATTTTAACTTTTAATTCTTTATTTTACAGAAATTTAGAGAAGCCGTTGAAGATGCTCTTATATTCCTCAAAATTTTCTTCAAAATGGACTCTAAAATAAATTACATTCATCTCCAACAAATTCATTATTTTGGGGAATCCAAGATTGATTAAAATATTACATTCATCTATTAATATATTTTCTTTCTTTAAATATTTAAGTTTTCAAAGTGTTTTATTGATGGTTTGAATTGGTAATTATTTATACAAATATAGCCTAGCAACGACAAAAGTAGTCGTTAAAGCTCAACATTTTGTCGGAATTGCAACAACCATCGTCATTGAGATGCAGCCTCTGTTAGTGTGTAGTTGTAGTTCCTTGTAGGTAGAAAATTATACCTACCGCGATCATATGTCTTCGCTATAGTCATAGATAATGAAATAAAAAATTAACTTTTTATCTACTGCGACAACCCGTTTTAACATTTTTTACTTTCGGTGTACAACCTACTTTATGGAGTCAAATGCATATGTGACTTTTCAAGTGTATATAAGAAGCTACAGTAAGCACATTTTTGGTGTTCAGGAAGTAGAGAAGAAAAATTGTATGCTAAACAGGGAACAATCCTATTTTTGTATTCAGAAAACTAATATCAGTTCAAACACAAATATTGAGCAAATGTTGCTTCCTAAGCCTGAAACTTAGACCATCCACACACATCTTTCAAAGCAATTGCAAAAAAGCAATTGCATGCCATGTAGGATTTCACTTGCAAATTTTGAAAGTGTAAATGCAAGCCACGTGGACATCTATAACATTGAAATATAATATGTAGAACAATTAATTTTATAAATTAATAATGTTAATGTATTTTTAATAATGTTAATGTATTTTTAATAATGTTAATGTATTTTTAATTACATTAATTATATAATAAATTAAATTATTTTATATGTAATATTTTTAATTCAATAAATGTTGTGTTTTGATATGATTTAATAAATTAATGTTTCAAATTTAAAACAATAAATTATATAATTATATCATATATTAGTCGTTTTAATTAACATTTAATTAAAATAAAACATGTTATTAATTAAAATATGTAATATTTAGAATGTATATATAAATAATTTATAAAATAGTTAATAAATGTTGTAGTAGGGACCACTTTTAAAAGTGTAGGTGACGTGACACAGTTGAAAGTGTTGTAGGTAAATTGCAGGTGTGTGGAAGATAATTGCAAAAGCTGATGTGGTACAATTGAAAGTGTAAATGGATTGCAGGGATATGGATGGTCTTACACCCAAAGAATACCTTGGGAATCCAACAATCGTCGAAAGATCCTGCAGCGTGGGGACACAAATCAAGGGTTCATGAACAAGTGGACTAGGTAGGTGACTTCAACAAGCAAATTATGGTGATTTTAGTATGTTAAATCGATTACGTGAATTGGTTCGAAAACGCGTTCGACATCAGTCCTCGACAATATCCAATTTAATACAACCCAAGAGTCCCTTTCACTTATGATTACCACACACGATAATACCAGCTGTTCTACAACAAAGTGCTGCAACTGTCACCTTCCTTGGATCTTCATCCCCATCCTATATACTGTTAGTATAATATGGGATTTGGAAACGCGTCTTTGACCCACAGACATTCATCATTCATGCCATTTTATTTCACCCTACCCTATATATATATATACAACACTCTTTCATGTCTTCTATCTACAACTTGATTAACATCATCAACATTTACTAGAAATGGCTTCTTCTTCTTCTTCTACCACTGCACTTTCAGTTTTCCTCCTCCACCTGATTCTACTTCTTGGGAGCACTTCTATTGTAGTCTTTGCAGATTTCTACAATGAGTTTGATATTACTTGGGGCGATGGCCGAGGTAAGATACTGAGCGGCGATCAGTTAACTCTCTCCCTCGATAAATCATCTGGCTCTGGCTTTGAATCAAGAAACGAATACCTGTTCGGCAAGATCGATATGCAGCTGAAGCTTGTACCTGGCAACTCTGCTGGCACAGTCACTGCCTACTATGTGATTATCTATCTCTTTCTTGTTCATTACTTGATACTTATTAAACTAATCATTTCTAGCTAGAAATTTGGAAATGCTAATAAAACGTTACTAATTGCATGCAGTTGTCTTCCAAGGGCTCCAACTGGGATGAGATCGACTTCGAGTTCTTGGGTAACTTGAGTGGCGATCCTTATATTCTGCATACAAATGTGTTTAGCCAAGGCAAAGGCAACAGAGAGCAACAGTTCTACCTGTGGTTCGACCCAACTTCTGATTTCCACACATATTCCATCCTCTGGAACCCTCAACGCATCATGTAAGTACTATTATATACATATATATATATATATATATATATATGCATCCTCCTTTCTTCTACATATTACTATGTATGTATAGCAACAGATCTTTTATCCGTCTTTCTGTTTATTAATCTTCCTGTATGATCAATACTTCAGATTTTCTGTGGATGGAACTCCCATTAGAGAGTTCAAGAATGCGGAATCGATAGGGGTGCCGTTTCCAAAAGCTCAGCCGATGAGGATACACTCTAGCTTATGGAACGCTGATGATTGGGCAACCAGAGGTGGATTGGTGAAGACCGATTGGAGTCAAGCTCCTTTCACTGCTTCCTACAGAAACTTYAAGGCCGATGCYTGTGTTGTTTCTTCTGGGAMATCGTCYTGTAATAATGGGTCAACAACAWCATCATCATCATCATCTTCTGGTAATTGGTTATCGGAGGAGTTGGATAACACAAAGCAGGAAAGGCTGAGATGGGTTCAAAAGAACTACATGATCTACAACTACTGCTCAGATTCCAAGCGTTTTCCACAAGGATTTCCTCCGGAGTGCAAGACCCCATAAGATATTCTTTCATGTATTTAGTTTTAATTAAGATTGAAGATAGAATTACTTATTCATATTCTTTGTAGCCATTACTCGATTTAATAATAAATTAAAGATTGGAATTAAATTTTGGTGTATATATGCTCTCCATTGTTTAATTAATTAAGCTTTTTTCTTTTCTTGTATCAAAACTAGGAATTAATTAACTCAATCAAAGATTTGCTGTTACAACATACCTTTTCATTAGCAAATTAAGACAGTTTTCTTTGTTATTAGCGAGATGAGTGTCTTATTTTTTTGGTCTGTAGTTGGAATGAGACAACAGATTGATGCTAAAATCACGATTTTAATGGTTTTGGGTTAGGGTTGGTTCGAGTTGTACTTGGAACATAAATGAAAAACAAGGCTATAAATAAATAATAAACTTCCAATAACCACTACAACAAAATTGGATTCATAGCACACCATATCAATTTCAAAGCGTCCTAATATAATCTTTTATAAGACTCAATTTATAGAACAAAGATATAAGTAGTCCTATCAAAAGACGTTCTAATAAGTTTATAAGACGCTTTTGGATGCATTAACAAGTTTTTGAAGAAACCTTTACTAAAAAAACATCCCATTAGTTATTTACAGAATACTATTTAAAAAAATATCTTATAAAACAAGTATCCTATAAATAAATGGATTTGTATATCACTTTTTTAAAAGTATCCTATATATAAAATAGCTAATTAATATGACACATTGTATTAGAAATGTCCTAAAAACTTTTTAATACGTCAAAAAATGTTCTATAAACTTATTACAATTCTTTTAGATAGAACAATTTATTTTTTGATCCTATAAATCGAGTCTATTGGGACATTTTCATATTGATGGCTTCTTACAAACTCAATTTTATTATAGCGAATTATTTGACGAATATTTATTGTATTACAGCAAATATATATATATATATATATATATATATAGAGGGATGTTATTCTACACCCTTTGCTATTCCTACACCCTATACAACCCTCATCTCAACCATTCAATTTTTAATCAATTAATTGTTTCCTAATATAAAGTATTAATCATAATTAATAAACTCTATTCATATTCCATAAATATTCAAATCATAATAAATGAACTCCAATCATTTCTATAAATATCTCAATTAATTGGGTTGCAAAGGTTGTACAAATGCACAAGGTTGTAAAAGAAATATACCCTATATATATATATATATATATATATATATATAAACATATAAACAGCTGTTTTACAACAAAAATCTGCTCACCAACCCAAGGAAAAGGATTGCTATATGCGTACGTTCTTCTAGCATATATATAGTCTCACCTTCCTTCGTCATCACCCTTGAAAAACCCTATAAATACATAACCCTTCACACCTTGTATCTTCACATCAACCAAACCAAACCTTGGTTAATTCACTACAACAAAATTGGGTTTATAGGACATCTCTACTTTCAGGTTAATCCAAAAAAGTTCATATTAAAGAAAGGAGAGTGAGGGGAAGAGATACACAATAGAATTGAAAACCTCCGAGGATGACTCCCATACAATTCTTGCAAGAACCAGAGTTTGCTGCTGACACAACAGGATTTGTTCAATACCATCATAAAATTGATACCTACATTCCGCTTCCCATTCATGGATGAGCCTCTACTTTGATTCATGGAGCTACTATGGTAACAACTGCAACACAACTGCAACACCTGGGAAGGCAACCCGATTGGCAGTTAGCATGGGAGGGAATATGGACCTTCTTTCTTTTGAAACTGACTGATGTTGAAGAATCAGCGGAATGCCATATCTACATAAAAGAACATTTGTTCGCAGACTTCCAAGTTATACCCGATATATGCAAAATTGCCCTTATAACATTAACATAAATGTATGGGTTCATCGGCGAATCCATATGATCATCAATCTCCTATACGTTCACGAGTCAAACCCATTACAGGTCGAGTTACTTGGGTTGCTTCAAAGCTCACCAACGATCTCTACTCGATGATCTAATGGATTTAGATCAACTATCAAGTCGATGGATAAGGGTAGAACCAATAAGCCAGCCAGCTTAGGGTTATAATTACAGTTTCTCCCATAACATTCTCCACAAACCAATATACCAAAATATATAATTATACAGAGATTAACAAGAAAATGAGCAGGAATATATATGTATCTGAGTCCTTGTCAGTTCGTTAAATTGAAAACCTTACTGTACAGGCAAACCCGAATTATCTCTCCTAGAAAACCCTAAAATTTACTGCCAATTGGTGGAGGAGAGTCATACTACTTGACAGTTTAAACCAGTCATTCATTTTCATTCGTCTTCGTCTAACTCTACGATCTGTGCCCGTCTTTCAGCAGCTTTTTTCCTTACAAAGAACCCCCACCGCATTGCCGCCTTTATCTTCAGCCAACCAACAACAGCTTTCCCAGGCCGGCTGCGATCCTCATCAAACTCAAAGTTTGGAGCTGGTGATGGGATATACGATGGAAAAGAAAACCCATCTTCACCCACCCCCCCTCCATGACCACCTCCCATGCTGAACAGTCGAAGTAGATGTTGCATATCTTCATTCTCGAGCATCTCATGACTTCTCATGCGGATCTCATCCTCTGACATGAAGTCCCCGACACCCTTGTCCCTACCACCGTGGGACCAGTCATCAAAAGGATTCATATTGGCTTGCTGGAATTGTGAAGATGATTGTGGGGGGCCAAGAGCTAGCCCGGCCCTGCTATCATATCCGTTGTTCTGTATCTGCTGGGAAGAAGAATTGCCAATATGGCGACCATTTGAAGCAAATGAATTCATGTCGTACTGCCCATGTGGATTGGTGTTTACATGTTGAGGCAGGGTTTGGTACGCTGTGTCCACATTATCATTATAACCTGAACCCAAGTGATAAAGGGATTTAATCAGATCTCCAAATTTGTATTTTCTCATGTCATCAGGCAAATCAAAGTTTAGATTCAAAACCCAAGCATCATTAGTTGACGAACAGATGATGAACTCATAGCAGATTACGTGTGGTCAATCAGTCTCCCGGTTAAAAAATAAGCATAGTGAAAAATCAAGTATCAAGCACGGCAGCCTTTACCTCCTAATAGCAGGTTTGAATCAACTGAGGCCAACTCTGAGGAACCCACAGCAGGCAGGCGAGGTGGCATTAGCTGATTATTTGAAGCTCTGGGATACTCCATGGAGCTCATTGAATATTCATTACGAGATACACCTGACCTCTTTGGTTGCTTAAAGCTCACAAGTGACTTGCCATCATACTCTACAACTTGGCTCCAGTTGTCGTACGCCTTCTTAACCAATGCATCCACATACATCTGTGAGAACAAAAAACAATAATTTAATTAATGAACCCATGTCCACTATTAATTATCGTTGCTAAAAAAAATTATTACCAATGTACCCGAAGAAACGTCATTTATGTTTATTCAGAGCAAATATGTTTTATGAAATAACGCAAACATGAAGATTCGACATAAAATTTTAAATAATGGGATTTGGAGGACCAACTTTCTCCACTACAGATTAATTGTTTGTTCTATTACCAAGGAGATAAAGAGACAAAGAAGAAACACACTTTGAAAGAATAGGAACATCAAAGGCAGGGAGGAGAGAGACATAGGTTAAAAGAAGATGCTTGTAGTCTAATTACTTATCGAGGAAAAAAAAACTATTGAAATTCAACTACTAGGGAGTCCAGCTCCATATTAGGCTTAACAACTTAGCCTCGTAAACAAGTTCAAATTTTACGTCTTCTGAAATAGCTGTGAACCCTGGGCCTCCAACATGTTAGTGGGTGGTCGACTGTCATTAACACAGTTTCTTGATGTTTCTACCACTTCCAGTTGTTGAGTTTAATCGGACCGTCCACCTTGGAAAAATTCATAGTCTTATACTTCTATTGATCAACACAACCAACAAAAAAAGGACAAACACATTACTGCGATAATAATGGGCAGGCTATTGCATTTTTAAGATAAGTAAGAGAATTTCAAAAAAATAAGACCAAAATAGGAGCAAAGGCTATCGAACCAAAATAAAGAAAACCTATCATGAGAAAAGAGATGAACAGCACCATTTAAATCTACAAACCCAAGAAGAATGAATAGATATAATAACACAATAATGCATATAGCAAAAACCTTTTGACTGTCGGAAAGAGAATCAGCTGGTTGATATTGGTCATTAGCAATAAGACCACTTAGCTCATAGATATTGTTGAAAACAACACCAACATTTCTTGTATCCTCGGGATAATATACATAAAGCTTCCCACTCAGCACACATGTTTTTGCATGCTCTATCAGAGCCTCCCACATCTTATTTGACATGCCACTTCCAAGGATCTAAGGAAAAGAAAGAAGTGCATCAGAAGAGAATTACACATTGAGAGGACAAGATGACCCAACAAACCATACCATATACTTACATTGCGTAGTTTTTGGGAATCCCTCACAACAAGGCGAAGGAAATCTTCAACCGTGAAGATCCCAGCACTATTTAGCCTCTTGTGGAATGATCCATCCTTGCCAATTTTCTCTAATCTCCACACATCATCATTTAAGGCAGGTGGATAGTGTTTCTTGTACACTGTCAATGAGAAAAATAGTTAACAGACTATCAAAACACTTTCTTTAATAACTAAAATAGCAAGGCCATGAAGGTGAACCAACATACATTCCCCTCTATGGTCTTTAACAGTGAAAGCTTCAGTCTTTGCTTCACGAACACGAATGCCTTCACAGAATCCTGAGGCTACCTTCAGACCAAGCCTAAATTTCCTGCTCCTAATCCAACTTGAGTTATCGGTAAAAGTTAGCTCCCCTAATGTTCCAACACCTTCTTTGAGTATCACCTGCAGCTCTCCAGTCAACAGTGGCCTCTTTCCTTCACGCTCTTTTACAACATGGCTTTCAAACTCCTCTTGAGTCCAACCTTCATCATCTTCATTGTTAAAATCACCTTCCAGCACAACAACATCTAGCTTTATTGATGATTCAGGTCCTGATGTAACAACATGCCCGGTGTTAGCATCAACCAAGACAATATGAATAGCAGCACCCTGCTCCCCTTCAACTTTCCCTCCAGTGAAGAGAGGCAAAGACATCCTGGACTTGAAGTGAAGCTGCAAATTTCTCCCATCTGGTCCTTCAATACGCTTAGGTGAAGACCTGAAATTTCATTGGTTTAGACACTTAAATAGGCATAGAATATCATTTAACCAGTTGCGAATATCCGATCAAAAGCTGAACACACTTTCCTTTAGTTATGGATGGGGTCACAGTAAACGTCCAAGATGATACACCTTGGTGTATTCTTTTCGCCATGGATATGGCGTTGATTAACGTTTGAAACAAAGTTGGGGGTTTTGGATAAACACTTCAAAATCTAAAGGTTTTGGATAAACACTTCAAAATCTAATGGTTTTGGATTAATCCAGAACAAAGCAAAACACATCAAGTGCAATGCTATCTGAAACTCATAGGGAAACATAACACTCCATAAAACTATTTGGATGGGATTAGAAAGGACATTGTTCATTACTCGGGATCAGTTTTCCTAAAAGACAAAAGGACTAATATGGTTATTAGCCAAGATGATATGGATATTAGCCAAGATCACCTTAGTGCATCCTTTTTGCCAATAATATGGTGTTGATAGATGAAACTAGAAAAGTACTAACTCAAAATTGGCTCAGAGAAACACTTTGGAATTTAAAGATTTTAGAAGAACAAAGCCAATATATTAAGTACAATCCTATCCACGTTGATAGGGAAAAGGAACATGCTGTAAAAGCATTCAGACTGGACTTTGAAGGATATCATTACTGGGGATCAGTTTTTCAAGAAGACAAAAGTACTTATTTGGATATTAGCCATATGATAAAAGCAGAGTGATGAAAAGGCAACAAGCTTCAACAGCCCTATGATTGAAAATTTCCATCAGTATGGAAAGGTAAGTTCTAGAAGAATGCATCAAGACATCCTACGGTTTATGAGCAACATGTTAGGCCACTAAAGGACATGCATACAAAATGAATCTAGTATAATTACCAAGGTTTTAAAGTACAGAAACGCATGGTTACGCCTCAAGAAGGAAAAATACTAGACAAAAACTATAGAATATACTAAACAGAAATATATTGGACATATTATATACCGAACAGATTACACAACATATATACCAACAAAGAAAATATATAGAATATATATACACAATCTTTACATATAAACTAACAATGAAAAATACATACACAATATATATAAGTATATAATATACTAGCAAATAAATAATATGATATCTCAAGTAGGTTAAAGAGACTTCTATACTCTGTGCTTGAATGCAGCAGGTTCAAAGAACATATATATATATATATATGTGTGTGTGTGTGTGTGTGTGTGCCGTGTGTGAGGGGGAAGAAATGAGGTTTTAAAACATTATTGAGAGGTGAATCGCTGTTGAGAGGAAGACAAGAACCAGACATTCTTTTTTAACCGAAATTTAGTGTTTTGTCTTTTTTATTATTTAAATAAGGAGGCACGCCCACTACATAAGAGAGTGCGCCTCTCTGTAGACTCACTGCTTCACCTACCGCCTCACACTTGCAAGGCGTACCGCGTATGAATCAGCCAAACATTGAGATGCGACACCTCAAGTGCGGTTTTGGGCCACCTTGTCTTGAGGTGCGCCTTAAAGCGTACGCCTCAGCCGGTTTTAAAAACCATAATAATTATAGATCATGAGGTGTAGATTAGTCAAGATGACATCGGGCATTTAGTTAAGAAATATTTGCATGGATGGAGTAGACCAAGGAAGGTGGCCTTAGGTAGGCATGCGTGGAGGTGGACATTTATGTCCTTGACGACCACAGGCCCACAACTGTAGGATTCACTTACTTTCCGTTTCTTTCAGGGTTTCACACTTCATAATTTGGGTTAACTTTAACCCAGTCAAGTAGTTGTATTATGAGATATTGGTTCATGATGTAACTAACATGATGTCTAGCATTTTCATACAAATTACATTTATGTATGCACGTCTGCAAAAAGGATAAGCAAGAGAAAAAGACAAGCCACATAGAGAGACTCGAAACAATCAAACTGCACAAACATGGTAGTAAAAAAATCTCTTCAAAACAGACGTAGGTTACCTAGTATTGAATTGGTTAAAACGACATGAAACCGAAACTCAGGTTTAACTCTAAAATGGGTATAAAATATAATTGGTCCCTAAACTTTTAATTATCCTAATTTGAGTGTCCAACTGTCCATGATATATGACTCTTTGCGATCAACCTTGTATTCCATGGGTATCTATGTGGCTTTGATCATTTGATGGAAATCCAGGTGTAAAGAAAACACTTATAAAGAGATTACTACGGCTACCACTACCTTATGAATGCAATACATTTATAAAAAAAATTATCACAAACCTTCCATTACTTAGTCGAGCAGGGCCTAGCTTTGCTAAAGCTCGCTCCACTTCCTCACTAACCTGTTCACAGAAAATGGCTTGTGAGCTGGTCAAAGGTAGGAAGAACAATCGCAGAAACTTTATGTAACTTGTAATAGGAATTGTATCAAGTAAGACACACCCACACAAAATCATCTTTAGTTCCCTTGGTTCAAAAAGTAAATCTTCCCAAAAACAGTGCTCTCAATGTAAAATCTGATAATAGAATAATGCAACAGTGCTAGTTGTAACAAGTGTCCACAGAAATAAATTAGCTCATACTAAAAGAGAATTGAAAAGGCAAACAAATCATCTCACATATTTTAAAAGTGGAAAATGAAAAAGGTGACATCTTACAACTCTGCGAAGAATAGGTTCCAAGGATGAGCAAAGCTTTTGGAGACTATCCACCTTCAAAGCTTCCACAATTACACTGGATAGAAAAAAAAAATATCTATCAAAAGTGGATTCAAAAATTCTCCAAATAAGCACATGCAAAATGTTGAAATAGCATTTGTTATCAAAAGAAAAAACTTGATATAGAGTTGTAGACGATTTACACATAATCAACCTGCACACAAGCATATTTTGGCAAGAATTGAGAATCAACTTGGTTGCATGAATCAAAGCAGATACTGGAGTGGGACCCTCCATAGCATCGGGTGACCAAGTATGCGATCCTACCCGAATTCGCGCAAGTGTGCCCACACCCCCCAAACTGCAGATGGGGCTGGAGATCCAGACACCAGCTCCTGCTCTGCGTGTAAAGTGGCAGGCTTATACCATTACGCTCACGAGCAGAATCTTAGCTTTGATTGGTATTTTTTTTTCTTAGTGATTGTAAAGGAGGGCGCTCCTTTGTTCTCAGTTACTCATCAAATGGCACTCAGTTCATATCTTTGGTTTTTCTGCACCATATTTTGATCTCCCTTTTCACTCTGCTGGGCCGACACTGACACTGAGAGACGAAAGCTAGGGGAGCGAATGGGATTAGATACCCCAKTAGTCCTAGCYGTAAACGATGGATACTAGGCGCTGTGCGTATCGACCCGTGCAGTGCTGTAGCTAACGCGTTAAGCAACTCATCAGGCCCATGATCTGAAGACTACAGGTTCGAATCTCCAGATCGACATATGATGCTAAACGGAGACCAAGATAGAGAGCTGCTGTTGTACTTGTTCGCTCATCTTTCTAGTGTGCGCTTTAGTTTTCGAATGTCTCGTTCAACTCTTTCCTTTCCCACCAGCTCGTTCTTTACTAGACATCTAGCCGGCCTATTAAGCGCAGCTAAGCTAATATGCGGCCAACAAAGACCGTAATTACATAGATAACTGCTCCTCCGCGTATTCATTGCAGATTCTCTCAAATAACCGCTCTAACTCAGTCCTTACTTATGTATTGAACATCTAGTGGTGATAGAATGTAGAATCCGCAAGAAAGGCCAACATGTTGCAGGAAGAGTTTCAGGTATCCAAATGCTGACTCCCAATCGGGTTGCCTTCCCAGGTMATTGCATATGGCTATATAGAAAGTAACGAGAGCAAGCCCTCGCCCTTTATCCTGTATGGGTTTGTGTTCACTCCGGGCATCTTTTCGATTTTTTAGATTTTAGGTTCTTCGCGAAGCTGAGGTTTAGGGGAAAGAGGAAAGTCTTCGATCCGCCTTATCTTGCAGGTGACGACGACGTCGAGTTGACTTATTAATATTAATTAATGATCTTGCTCAGTAGGAGGGCTGTAAGGGCAGGCTGCTCTATATGGTCTGACCCCACCTACCCGTTCCGCCCAACCGTAAGCTAAAAGAAGCCCCCAAGACAACTTCCAAACCAACTTACTCAGCCAACCCTCAGTAGCGTAAGAATAAACAACTATCAAATACTGCTCAATTTCACCAAGCATCAAAATTTTAACGACCATACATTTCGAATTAAACAAAAGAAAGACCATCCATCACCACAAATTCGTTTGACAGAGAAGCTGTTTGTTGTCCAAGGTCCAGGCCTTATACAAGTCGTATTAACAAATATACATTTCAAAAGGTTTCAAAATAGTAGTAACACTTATAACTGGAAAAACATGAGAACTCAAAGCCAACAAGATGACAAAAACAGTTAGTAGTCTTTCTCCACTTGTTGTGTGTGTTGAAGAATTTCTCAAAATTCTAGGATCTGGACTTATATGATATTTCTCTTATGTAAACATTGTATGCCAATGTAAGTACAGAATTCTCCGTAAACCTCAATGTTTACATCTCTAAATTGTTGGAACTATTTCAAATCAACAGAATTCTCCGTAAACCTCAATGTTTACATCTCTAAATTGTTGGAACTATTTCAAATCAAACTTGCACTATGTAATAAGCAACCACTTGCATTCAAGATCAAGCTTATACAGGGACGGATCTGTGAAGGCCTGAGTGTGGTCCCATGCACCCACTCAACCGATTTCGCGAGTATCTTTTTTGGGGTATGAAAGGTGCACCTGCTAAACTTTGAAGGGTGCTCCGGAATATCAAAAAGTACAAGAAACATCAACCAAAAAACCGAAAAAGTCCCTGGTAATCAACCAAAAAACTTAAAAAGTCATTCGAAACAGTGGAATTCAGCTAAAAACACATCGAACAACTTTGCGGGCCTGGCATCTGATCCAGCTTAAAGGTGCACCAGCTGGCAAAAATCCTGGGTCCACTGCTGACTTTGTATATAACTATCTCATATCAAACACAAGGCGCATGTTGTGAATCAATGTTTGAGCATCTAACAGGCAGACAAAGCTTATCTCCTTATTATTGATAAAGCAATAAGAAGGCAAGACTTCAGGTTCATTCTAATCAGCATTCTGGACATATTTTAGTATTTTACTATAGCTGCAAGTGGAAAAACTATATATCTGAAACCAAATGCAAAAACAAAATGATAAGAACTAATTATTAATGCACTAGTAATGTTTTCACGTTTATCAACTATTCTATCATGGACCATGCTTTTCTTCAGGAACACCTGCCTTGCACCTGGACCTAGGCTCTATTGAGCACTGATGCACCCAGGTGTGGCTGACAGTTTGAATAAGACAAGTGATTGTTCCCACCGACTATGCTGTTACGGCGGTCAAAATACAAAATAGCGGTCAGGACTGAGATTTGAAATGGCGGTTATCGTGGTGGTATAGCGGTCCAAAAATAGCAGTCATAAAATAATATTAGAATTATATATAAATATAATATATATGTATGCATACATAACTTAACATATTATATGCATTAACTCAAAACATAGTTTCAACATCAATACATCAACGTAAACAAGTTTCAGCATCAAAACATCAACTTAAACAAGTTTCACACAAACAAAATAGGAAGCTGAAGCAGAAGCTGGGAAGCAGGGATGTTTAGTGTTGAGTCCACGAGGAGGCTGGTGGAGGTGTCGATGAGGAGGCTGGTGGCTGGAGTAAGACTTGTGGCTGTGAAGAAGACGGAGGAGGCTGTCGACTGTCAAGGAGGGGGCTGGGAGTATCGAGGTCGAGACATTGAGTGAGGACTGAGAAGGACGATGATGTTGAAAGAAAATTGAAAACCTATTACCTAATAGTCTAATCGAATTCGTTGACGGTTAAAGAATGGATTAAAATGATTTAGCGTTTTAAACTAATAAAATAAGTCCAAATATAAATAAGGCTGAAGTCAAAATTAAAGCCCCAAACAAGATCAAAATGTAAGCATCAGGTTCAAAAAGGCCCAACTGCAAATAGCGGTATCGCTGACAGCTATTTTACGTCAAATATCGGTGAAATAGCGGCAAATTGCATCGCTATTCTCAGAACCGATATTTTACCACCGCAATTTTGTATAGGACCGATAACCAATATTGCACCGATTTTAACAGCATAGCCCACCGAAATACCAACTAAGATAACACATGACAGGAAAAAGAAGCCTATCTACACATGGATTCCAAATTTTCCAAAGACCTATTACTTATTACAAGAATCCAAGCCTACAACAGTTACCTAAAACCAAATGTAAATCATAAAGAGCTTCACTCCTGAATTTGACCACTCTGACTTCATAAAAGTGAACTTCCGCTCTTAGAATATGAATCTTATATGCAGTACTGGAAAAAGAACAAGGGTCTCCATCTCAACTTAACTAAATCTAGGCCCAGTTCAGTGGAAAACCAATTGATTTCAAGTTGAATTGAATTTTACCCAGGTTTGCTTAGTTTCAAATTCAAGACGATATGTATTCTGATAAGCATCCTTTAATTGCTTACCCAAGTGTCCAAAGAAAGCATAAAGTAAGCACATGACTTGTCTCCATGAGTATGACTAGAATAGTGTAGCAGGGCAAAGATTGCAACAGTATCAAAATATGAGGTAATATGTTGCGAACAATAGTATATTCACAATGTATTTTGCTATATTTGCATGTCTTTAAAAACCCCAAAAAAGGATACATAGGGAGGAAAATTGTACATAAGACTGATGTTTATATTGAAGATAAGAAAGCAATGCTGTCCACCAGGACCCAGATGACTTAAATTCTTTCATTTATGCAGCAGAGTGTCTAGAAGGATAATTGAATGTATGAAAAGAAAAATGAAAGGTGAAAGATGAAAGATGATAATAAAACCTACCCTCATAATGGATCGGCCTTATGAACCAATCTACACACAAACAATACCATAATCACTATACATTATTATAATGATGGATTACAATACCATAATAACAGAATGCCACATACCAGAAACTACCGCTAATTTAACAACTGGGTTAAATAAAACAAGCATTTTTTAGACCTGCTCACATTCAAAATGATGTTACTGCATGAATAGGGATCATAAATTTTACCATTTTCCTTTATCCAAGAAAAGGTATTTCTAGTTTGCATGGGTCTCCTGCTTAACCTGAGAAAAGTAATTCCATTTTTGTCTAAATTTCGGACTAAATGGGCATCTAAAAACTCTAGAATCCTAGAACCCCTGATATTAACATTGACCAATTTTACCTCAAAAATAAAGACAAATTACATTAAGTGATTTCTTTCATTTTCCATTCATGGCACTTACGGTGATGAAAGAAACAAATATTTAGAATCTACATATTATATTGAGAAAATGGATGCATAATTATTTAGTAAGAATCATATGTGATTTAGAATTTGGGTATACTAGATTAAGATATGTTTAGGGGGATTCTAGACAATTATCTTATTTTGTAAGCATTTGAGTTCTGCTATGAAGGGGACACTTGAATCAGCTGTCATCACATGATAGTGTCCATACTGAAGACTAGTCTTCCTCCTCCTATCATGCCTTTGGGGAATAAGCATGTCAAAAGCTTGGTGGAAAGTTCATCTGCTTTCCTTTCAGTTGCCTCATTGGCAATGGCAAAGGCTTGGATGGGTCTAATGAGAGTGAGGTAGGTGGGTGAAGAATTGTGGAAGGTTTTAAGATTTTAATTTGACATGGGTAATTTAGTAATTTACCTATCTTGTCCCATCCTCCTGATTTTTGTTCTATCTAATTTGGTGGGGTTTCGTCCTGCTAAGTGGTGTCCTGTCTCAGTCTAATTGTCGCACTAAACATAGGACAACGAGTTTTTTTTGTGCTTTGTTCTTGTCCCATGTACCAAACGGTCCAAACACACCGTAAATAGCCTCAAGGACATCTTTAATATGTTCTTCCTCACAAATTCAGGAGAATCAACCAAAAAAGTATGCATGTAAACCCATTTAATCCACCATGTTGTCATCAGAAATTAAATTGCTGGAAAATTCTCCGTTATCCTCCAAACTTGACCCATTATATGAAAGCTTGTGCTTGACATAATTAAATTCTGAAAATTCATATTAACTACACATACATGGAAATTTCCTACACATAGAAGTAATACATCAATATACTGTAAAGCAGAACCATTGTAAGTGGGAATATATAAGAGCTTAAAATATTTATAATAAAAAAAGCAAAAATATTGGATGCCTGAACAGACAACTCTACTAGTACCCGAGAAAAACAGAAAATCCAACATAAGCAATGAACAGCCAACTTTACTTGATACGCCAGAACAACAAAAAATCCAACAACATAAGTAGTACCCAACTCAACAACTCCATGAACAAAATACAAAATCAAGGCAACACGCATGATATCATAGTCAACGCACTTACTTTTACACATTTCACAGAGCAACTGATAGTTTACCATGTCAAGAACTTCTAATTGCAAATTAGATCTCAACCACACGCCAAAAACAAAGGGAAACCAAACTTCATTCATTACCTGGCTAAAGCGGGCCGTTTACGCTCCGGCTGCTGTTGTTCATCTTCACCACCCTCCAAACTCCGTTTCCCTCTCTCCCTCATTGAATTTTTCCTCTCCATATTCCTCGTCTGCATTTCCTCCTAGTTTTTCAAAACCCAAACACAATCTACAAAGCGTAAAACAGTTATATAAGTAAAAAAAACGAAACCCTAGAAATGTTTTCCAAGTCAAAGATCCATCGTATGGAAAACCCTAAATTGAAGATAAAAGTAGAGGCATCTGGTAATAAAATTCCAGATGATGATCAAGAATCAGCGATAAGTATTTATAGTTATACCTAAATTCATGTAGAATATACAAAAATACCTGTGAGATTTCCGAAGTTTCTCTCACTAAAAACACACAATGACTACGGGTCTGGAGGAGTCTTCTCTGACGACTAGCAAGTGTCGTAAGCTGTTATGCTTTCCCCTTCAGATCTTTTGGTTGGGTGAGATTTTAGCCGTTGGATCAGCAGATGCGCCGTACAGTGCCACGTCAGATAGCGCGACTTTCGGCTCAGCTCTAGCCAAAAGTTTGGGTTGTCTATCTACCTCACGAACCTTTTTAAGCCGGATATTTCATCATATTCTGTTTATAAAGACTTAATTACGTCCATAAAAAATAATCATAAAGAAATGTCTCTACAATTTATATTCTATAATTTTTTAAGGCTTTTTTTTTATTTAAACTTGCGTTGTTTACCAATTGTCTTGTATTGAACAGTGTTAAAGTAAACAAATACTATTATATCCATGTATAATATAGTTGTGTATCCGTGCAATGTGGCGGGAGCCGTGAATTTTAACGATTTTAAAGTTTCACTGGTTTTATTAGAGAATATTTAACGATGATATAAGTTACATTTGGTTTTTACTATTAATACAATTTGAATAAATAAAAGTTATGGTTTCAATTACAGTCTATCGATGGAAAAAATTATATAACAGTTTAAAATCCTATATATTTAAACGACTTCATAAATATATTCAATTTACACCAAGAAACTTCACTAATTTGATTATGACATAAAAATAATGCAAATAGCATTCCCGTGGCTAAAATAACTAGGGAAAAGCCAGAGATTTAACAATCTAATTTCTTTTATTTCTCTTTGTTGATTACATATTTACAGAATTAGCCCCTCAACAATAACAAAAGTTGTTCTTCTACCCTTTAGCTTATACACAAAGTGAGGCATAGTCCCTAAGACCTTGAACCTTACCTCAATTGTCAATAATAGCCCTGACCTGCTAAAACCTGACAAAACAATAGATAGTTAAGTTGATTAATTTCAAGTGATTTCATAAAAATGCCAACAGGTTGATTAGCAGAAAGAATTTTCAAAACCTTTAACACGACCACACCAACCTTCTCTCGAACTTGATGCACATCAATTTCTATGTGTTTAGTGTGTTCGAGAAAAACAGAGTTATTTGCTATTTGGATAGCAGACTTGTCATCGCAAACAGAGTTATCGTAAGTAAATCATTTAAAATTTTGAGAAACTCAAACAATCTCACACGTGGCCAAAGCCATAGCCCAGTATTTAGACTCAACAGAACAACGAGAAACAATATTTTGTTTCCATCCACCAAACACCAACATTTTTCTTCCTTGAATTTCAACTCAACCCATTCTTGCAACCAAAAAAAAAATGGACCTAAACTTGTTAAAACATCCATTGTCTCATCATAAAACACCTTACACCCATGAGGATTAATTTCTTGAAAACACGGGTATTATATGAAGATCCCTTCTTACTTTTCTCATAATAACTTTCATTCTTACAAGAACCCAATCCAAATTAGACGAATGATCGTGCAAATCCAACCCTAATAGATTATATAGTATTTTATCAATTTTAGTATGTGTATGCATGTGATTGTAATTCAATATGCACATTAGTTTTAGAATATGGTTATGATGTAAAGAACTAATGTTGAGAATTTTTTTTACAAATTAATCGAGTATTGGATAACCTCGGGTTGGGTTCTTTTGGGTTGGTCGGCTTTTTGTACACCCCTACTTATGTGAGCAACTTTTTTAGTTGGTAAGCGGTAAGTAGTATTCTCGTTAGATGACCATGATTAGTTGGTTGTTTTCAAAAAATTGTATAAAAGGTCGTTAATACTAGTTCATATTGTTTGGGAATTCTGTTGAGGTTTCAGTATGAGTAGTGCATCAAGATACACTAAGTGACGCAAAATACAACCTTTCGTTAACGTGGTAACAATATGGTGTTGAAGTTGTTAATTCCTGAGTATCATTTGTTAAAGTGCTTATTTAAGTACTTATACAATTAGCCATGGACTCTCTTAGCCTTGTAAGCTAACCTGTGTCGTATATCACTGGAAACACGCACATAGCATTTAGCAAGGGGAACGACTTGGCATAGATCACCATAGCAGACTTTTATTTATCTTATGCTGCAATATCTAGTTTGATAAGTGACATACTAGCTATTTAGATTTTGCTTTTGACTGTAAGTCTTCCGCTGTAATAGAATTGTTGAAATGAAACGAAATGAAATTCTAAAGCTATTTAGAACATCATTGTAACAAACCACCACAAGGACAAATATCCATAATTTCTAACAAACCACATGGACCAACTAACCCTTCTATAAGAAAATAAAATGGTGTCAAAGGGTGCCACCATAACCATTGCTACACAATGTCACCAGATCCAACAATGTTGCATACAATACATCTAGAGATAGATGACCTAACAATCTCTTTCTTTCACCATCCCAATCCTCTCTTTCAACCTCTTGCTTGTATTCCTCTCCCATTCCAATTCCGTTTCCCATTACCAACCACCACGAAATGCCGCCACCTTCTGGATCTACGTGTGCCACCAGACCTAATACTTCACCCTGTTCCACCTCAAACCACAGGCTCAAAAAGTCCCTGCTTGCTTTCATTCCCACAATCACAGCTTCTTCATGCAGCCACCGGATTATTTGACTTGCAACCTGTTACATATAAGTCACAATTTTCTAGTTGTAACTTTGTATGTTAAAAAGAAATATATTTTGGGTTCATTTAGAAACATACCTGCTGTAAAAGTATGACATGGAGATCAGCCAAATTGCACTCATATCTGTTTACAGAAGAGCTGTTTTCAGACTTCCCTTTGAAGAGGCCAACTACATTTGGTGCACCTTCCCCTTCTATATTGATACAATCATCATTTACCACCACTTTTGTTCTGAAATGTTTCTTCTCTATTGCCAAGCTCTGTTGCCCAGCATGAAGAATCGACTGAGGAACATCCACCACAAGTGTCCATGAAGATGTACGAGAATGCCAACTGGGATGAGATATCAAACGTACATATGATACACTGCTGGCCTACAAGTGTCGTAAAGAATAAATTATCATTTAAGGTCGGTATCCTAAATAGTCCAATCAAAAGCAAAAAAAAAACAAAGGTTATTTATTACCAGATTTTCTAGCTCCATCAGAACTTTATATGAAAATATTCTGTGAGCCAGAGACATGCAAAAATGACCCAGAAGGTTCGACCCATCTTTTGCCGGCTGACCAAACAGTTGACTTCTGCTAGGAGAAGCTGATCTATTCTTTGCTCTTACAAACACATGTTCATGAAAAAGCTGTTTCAAGAGAATTTCAGAACTAATTCTATTAGGAAGAAATGATTTCTTCTGAACTTCTTGTTCGTCTTCTTCATCAATCATAGGTATGACGGCAGCTTTCTCATCACTTTCTTCTTCATCATCAACGACATGATCATCTTGAGTGGATGATAAAAGTGAAATAAACACAGAGGCCTCTTGATCTATGTTTAACTGCAAATGATTTTCACGTATACCAGTCACATTCACGCCTAAAGACGGGACAAATGCTTCTTGATTAATCAAATTAAAAACCTGCAAATGATCCATCCAGAAAAAATGTAATAACAAATTAGTAAAACAAACTTGCTCCCTCTGACAGAAGATGAAATGAAACATTTTCTTAATCTCTTAGTCCCGAAAGAATTGCAGCATTTGGAAATATATTTCAATAAAGTTATCTATATTCCCCATCGTAATATTAGGAAAATAGTAGCGATTCAGTTTGGTCACAATATTTTTTCAATGTAGATTGCTAGATTTAAAAGATACCACTGTGTCGCAAAAAATAAGTGTCCACATTTTCATTTTAGTTTGTTCCAAAATAAATGCCTACTTTTCAATTCTATACTTAATTATGAGATGAAGAAATTCATTACTCCTATTATTAAGGGTACAATTGTCATTTAGTTAACTAAAAAGTTTATTGATTACACATTTCTAAAACTGTGCGCACTTTCGTTCTGGACATCTATTTTGGGATGAAGACATTTCTAACACTTGGTTATGAACTTATGATTAACTGCACAAGCGTGAAGGGTCAAATATTGCAATTCTTGTTGAACAGGAGATATATTTGTGAAGCATGAGAGGTATAAAAACAAAAAGAAACTACCTGCTCATCAAAAACCGCTCGATGAACTTCACGAAGGTCAGAATGCCTTGTTTTTACAATTCCATCATCACTTTCGGCTTCTCTCTTAGCTTCCCCAGACAATTCTGAATTTGATATATTTGTGGCTGTTCTATCTGAACCTCTTAGAATAGTATCAGAATTTCCACTAACAAACCCAAATTGAAGAGTGTGGCATGCTTTTGAAGGCAAATTCAAAGCAAGCATTCCAGCACTGTCGTGTTCCACACGGACAGTGGACAACGAGGATGGACGAAATACAGATGCTGGGTCATATAACGTGTTGTCAAACAAATCAATGTAGAAACCTTCATTGCCAGCAGCAGAAGCAGCCATGCGGTGTCGCTTAACTTTCCAGTTCTGCTGCAGTCTGTTAGCAGGTCAAGATATCAGGTAGATCAGCAGTAGCTAATGCATTTTTTAGTACAATAAGCTCTTTTATTAAAACCAAACCAGACAAGCCAAGTATATCCCACCCAGATCCATGAAGACCCACGACTTGTGGAAGAGAGTAATGGCAGATGGAATAAGCAAATCATATACATCAAACAGCTTATGAATCACATACTCAGCTGAATTCAAGGACGCAGACAGATATGTAAAAGGTGTAGAGAGCTGACCTTATTAGGGCTCCATAGAATCTCGCTTCTCTGGCAACTTGCTTCTCCAATGCTTTGGCAGATTGCTTAAAATATTTCCCAAGGTGCTGAAACGGAGAACCCGAGTCAATTAGAAGTTGATTGGCGTGAAAAAGAACTATCACATAATATGTTGCTAGGAATTTTGTCATTCAACCAGTTCAGATTGTACCTCATTTCTTTCCAGCCTCACAGAGGAGACCAAATGCCAGAGAAACCAAAAACTTTATGCTCTAATTTTTGGAATATGATCATCATAACTAGAACTCAGGGTAGTTTAGGATGTTAAGACCTATGAGGATATTATGGTCTACTTAATAGTAAGGGTATCTTAGCCCTTAATAATTTTATTGTTTCGTAGTTTCTTTAGATAACATTGTAAATTCCCAATTCTATAACGAGGTGAATTTTTAATATTTAACATATTTGAACTGCCCGCAGTGTGTGAATCAATCTCCATTGGCACGGGGCCTGGTATCTTATATGTGAAGCTTTGGAAATTCAATTCTAGTCATCTTTCAACTGTTTTTCCATGGTTATTTTTCAGTTTTAGGCACCAAAATAACCCAAACAAAAGGACCAAAAGGAAACTTCACAAAGAAAAAAACTTCCGTATTCTCAATCTGAAGTTTCTGAACTTATTCATGAGACAACAGATATGCAAAAGCTTTCTGCTAGACCATTCTATATAGAGAAGCATGCCTGTTTCTGGCTTATGATATAACAAACTAATAAGGGGCAGCAACTTTGAACATATGTGTAGACACAAAACCTCCCTTTCACTACACATGAAAACTCTCAAGACAGATAAGATCAGATACCCGGAAGCATTGGAGTTTCGTTGCTGTAGATACTGCCAGGTCAGATAAGAGTTCGTTAGGTAACTGCTTCGGCCTGGTCATGCCAGCCACTGTGACAGCATCATTAGCTTCAACCTACACAGAAAGTTTAAAGAGAAAAATCAAAGAAAGCAAGTTTAAGTCCAAGGAACTAATTAACATTGCTGTATAAAATCATCCCAGTTTACAAGTTCTAATTTGCATACTACCGAAGATTAAAATGCAACTTAAAGGATGCAACCACTAAGAGACACTTTACTCTTACGCATAAAACGGCTAATGTAAAAAAGATCACATACTGAAACAACCTACATTCAAGCATCAACAAAGGATTCTACTATTCCTTTATTTAAATACTTTTCAGAAAAAAATCAAAACAATACAAAATACTAAAATCACATATCTGCATAACAGAAACTTATTCAAGGTAAATCCCCTAACGAGGCTATAAAATAGACCTTAACCTTTAGATTATTTCCATGTTGCCACTCAGTGATGTTGAAACTAAATTACTTCTCAAATTGAATCTTTTTTATATTCTGTGTCATTAAAAGAAAAGAAATATCCAAAATATCAACTAAAAGCCATAAATTTTGTCTAGCATTTCAAGATAGAGCACGAATAGTGGCTATATTAGTAGACTAAATCCCTGACATTACAGGCATATTCCCCAAGGCATTCATATGAATCGCAAGTTAAACCCCTGATTTGGGCCTACATGGTGAGCAACAAAGCCTTTGTTTAACGTTTTTGGGATCAATTAAACCTACTAGCTTCTTCAAGTTAGAGCCATGATCATAGCTAAATATCGAGCTATAAATCCTAGTATTGTTACTAATTTCCAAAAACCCAAGTTCAATATCATCATAGGACCAAAAAACCGTCAACAAAAGGTAACATCTTAATCTCTTCTGTTTATATCAATTTAGAGTTGGGATAACTCTGAGACTTACCGTGTTAATGAGATCAATGATAACAGACAGCTCTTGGTGAGCCAACTGTAGATTCTCAACCATGCTCTGCCATGGCCATGGTGCTGAAGATGTCGTATCTTTAGAAGCAGAAGCAGCATTATCACCTTTCTTCTGCTTCTTGTTTGGATCTTCTCTCTCCACTGCCCAAGCAAAGTCTATTCGCCGAATGAGATTCACTCTGTTATCGTCGTAACTCAAATCGCTGCAAACAAAAAGAAAAAAAATCAGAAACTCAATTGATCAGAGAGCTGTCGAATGTCAAATTAGAGGAAACAGAAGGTGATGTTCATACGGAGGGAATCTTTCAGCTCCATTTTCTTCAATCGCTTCCAAACGTTTGACTGGTAGTTTGTCGAGAGAGATACTCAAATCCCCATCCATTTCCTCCGACGTGTTCTTCAGGAAGAATCAGCAAGTTTCGTCTCTAGAAAAATAAGTTCGAAAAGAGAAAATATTGAATACAAACAAATGGTACAAGCAACTAATATATATTGCTATAAATCTTCAGCAGACTACATGTTCAGAAGTCATTGCACAAGTATTTAGCAACAGTTACTGAAATCCTGTATGAAATAATTGTATACGGTTAAAAAATATGGTCTACAACATGCACATTAACTGTCGCTGCTGAAAATTTATGAACGACTGCTTGCAATCTTTTCCCACATCATAAAGTGTTCCTTTACCTACACAAACACACAAGAATCAAGGTGCGAGAGGGGCCTAGCCTGTCTCTTAAATCAAATCTGATTCACATGGTACCACAACTATATTCAAGTATTTTTACTGTTTTGATGAGAACCCAAGAGATTTTTTGAAGTGTGGTATTAGCTCTTGACAACAACAAGAAACGTTGTATTAAGAAACACGAACGGGTGAAGATTACATGGAATACAAAGAACATAAAACCAATAGAATTGATTGATATTATATTTCGTACATGGACTATGTACGGCTATTTACAGAAAAAATATAACCTCAGTCATGCATACTAATTGAATTAATTAAAGAAATTGGACGAAGCCTAATAAGGACAAATAAATGAAGAATAATTGAAGAACATATTACACAACATAAATGACTGAACAAGTTGATAGGATCCCCCTTTTTACGTCCCCATGCCCTCTGTGTGGCGACATGGGGGCGAAAAAAGGAAAGAGAGGGATGGGGTTTCTCTCGCTTTTGGCATAGTGGGCCCCCCCCCAAACCAATAACCTAAGCTGTAGCCAGAATCTTAGCACAAACATGGATAAGGCCAAGCACTTGACATTTCTTCAATTAATGAAAACAGATGTTGCTGTGAATTCCACTATACTTAACGTGATAGTGTCAGGAGCATGTAAGAAGCTAAACATAACCCATAGTTCACTAGAGTCTCCACTCTATCTTTATCAATGATCTAATTCCTTGTTGGGGACAACTACTAAGCCCCAAGAAAAAAGGAGCTAAACAAAACCCATGATTTATTTACAAGCAATTGTTGAGTGCTTACATTTATAATTTGAATAAGTAGCATAGCCAACAACCATTAAACAGATTTACCTCTTTATGTAATGTCCCTCATGGGAAGAAAGCAATCTTATATGCTATATATAAGTAACCAATATATCAACAGAGGTTAAGCATTATACTTTGCATATTGTAAGCGACTATCAACAAACATGGAGAACTCATTAAACCCTAGGAACTAGGGAGACCTTCCATAGAAGCACAACACTGCGATCTCGTGATCTAGGAAACATAATTAATAAGAATAATAAACAACGAATAACCTAACAAACAAATAAACATCAAAAAACTAAAAAGAAAACATCAAGATTTGAGGAAATTAAGAAAGAAAAACACCTGGGAGAAATCAGAAAGGACCAGTGAGAGTGAGAGTGAGAGCCAGAGACCGAAAGGGCAGAGCCCTCGTCCACAGCCACAAGGGCAGTGCCGTCCAGTGCGTGAAGGCCTGAAAGGGCACAACCCGTGTGTGAAATGCTAAGAGGCAGAGCGAGAGCAGATGCAGGACTGGAGGTCGTCTGATCTAGAGCGAGGGCGTCAAATCGAGAGCGAGAGAGAGGGCATGGGCCTTACCATCGGACTCCAAATGATTTATAATGTATTTACAATTAGATGTTCGCATGATTTTCAAGGGATGTTTGAATTGTTTATAAAAATAATTTATTGATTTATTTTGATATGATATTAATAATAAGTATTTTTGAGGATTTAGATAAATAATTTATATTGATGTTAAATCAATAATAAAGAGTTTTTAAAAAAATTAAAGTCTTTTAATTTATAATAAATT